ACACTATGACCATGTTGGATATAAATTTTGAATAGAAAGAGTTTGGTTGGTGATGGTATTGAAACTTGTGCAGAAATGCTAAATAGACTTTTCCCACTCAGATTCACCATGCAATTAGGCTCCTCTGCATATTAAACATAATAATGGATCAGGCATGGGGCACAACGTGTGTGTGTGTGTGCGCGCATGTCCTCCATTTGTGTGAAGTACATAATGCAAAATCAAGGTATAAAAATTGCAGCAATAGAGTCTTTGGCTCTTTGTGTGCAGGCCCTTGTGTTCATCACATAAAACGTTAGGCAGGGCCATGAAATTACAATTCCCACATTCCATGCTGAATTTGAATTCAATATTGGGCAGCCTTCTCATTCCATGGAGCTTGATTGACAGTCAGAGTCTGCAAGGGGGAGGCGAGTAAAAACGTCAAGAGGAACCTGCAACTGCACAATCCAAGCCCTGTCCCTTTTTACATGTACATATTAAAAGGGGCAGGGCTTCAGTCGCCTAGCTACAGCCATCATTTTGACATTTTTAATCTCCTTTGAGGAGGCCCCTGTTTACACATCATTGTTTGGGAAGATATTACTGTTGGGGAGAAAATATTATCTCTCTTCTCCTTCAGTGATGTACTCTTCTTGAAAATACTCTTTCTGGCATGATATTAAAGTTTTCTAAAAGTCTCCCCTGGTGGCAATTGAGCATTTAAAAATCCTGTTTGATGTGCATTTTCAGTGAGGTCACTGCTTGGGAGAAAATAACACTGTAATCCCATTAAAAAAAGGCGGGGGGGAACCCTACTTCAATTTAGCTCCTTAGACGCTTCCACTGATGCCAAAGCAACTTCTGAAAAACTGACTGCTAAGCGGTGAGAGCACAGGAGGAGAGTAAGTTGGGGGGAAAGAAGATGGAAGAGAATAAAATGGGAGTGGGACAGAAGAAAAGGAGAAGGTCTGGGTGTATCAGTTCGAAAGAGTCAGGGAGGCTTATGCTGCAGAACCATGAAAGATGCCAGGGACAGCATTTGGTTCCCTGGTGAAAAACATTCCCCGCCTGGGATAGATTGTAAGAATTCAGTGGCTATTTCGTTGAAAAGCTGGATACAGTAAAGTGGTGGAGAAGCAAACAAATGTCTGCTTCCATGATCTTAAATGGTTTTAGGGGCAGACAGATTTCCTTGATCCAAGATCAGCTCTTTGTAGCTTCATTGAGACATCTATGTAGCTTTCTTGGCAGCAGTGCAGAAACGTTTGCCATTGCCTTTCTTCCAGGACTTTTTAAAC